AATGCCATTGCGGTCTTTTAGTACTGGGACGCGTGTCGCCGGCTTGCAGCTACCAACACATTGACAAACAATAAATACACACTATCGCTCACACATGCATTTTGCATTGTTGCAACAAAAATTAAACTTTAAGAGGATGACATTACGCAATATTTTCTAAAAACGCATAATCTCAGAACCCGTGATCCCTGTGACCAATAATAAACGTGTGCGAAAAGCACAGAATGATATCGCGCGCTCACTTCTAGTGCAGCACAAAGCGCATAATGCTCATATCGATAATTTTCCGTTGAGTCCTGCAACAATAGGTAACTAATTTATTGAAAGTGTTTTATGTTTCATTCCTCGACGCGATTTTAGGCGATTTATTTATTTTCATAAAGGGAATACAATAAAACGTTAAAAGTAAGTAATTTTTTTTATTATTATATAGTTATACACTCAACAGCTACTATATACTCAACAGCGATATATTGTTTTTAATTCTAGTTTAATTTAATGAAGAGTCTGACTGCATTTTGTTTTTATAATGTTTTTATTGACTTGCATATATATATATGCATAAGTGATATAAAAATTGACTTGTATAACTACATATATGTTATTATATTCTAAATTGGGTGTATACCTTTGCAATAAATATTATTATTATTATTATACAAAAGTTATGCAAACTATTTGTTAAAATCCTATACATTTTTAACAACTTAAATTTTTTTATAGAATTTCTATGTTATGTTTATCAAACAACTCGCCCTTAGAATTATTTACTCAATCAAATCAAATCAAAAAAAATTGGTAAATGCGGAACATGTCAACGATACAAGGATATTCAACGCATACTGTTTTTGACTTACCCATATACATAACAATAATAAGCCTACCTCCTAATAATTTTCTGAATGAAAAAGTAGTTTAAAAGTACGAATTTACAGATAATCGTTGATAAATGACTTTTTTAAATTATTCAGACAGAAAGAAAACATACATAATGAGATGTAACAATTAAATATTTAACGAAAAATATTAAGCCAAACGTAATAAATTTTCGATAAAAAATAGTGGTGGCACGTCACTAATTCGCGGTCAACTTATGCGGCGTGTCCTTGGAATTTACGTACGTGACGATATTGTTCTTTACGCATGACTATTATTTCATTGCTGCTTTTAGCAGTTGTAATAGTAGACATGAACAAGCTTAAGTGGTAATGGTTATTGAATTGAAAAAAAAAACGTTTTCCTGCTATAATCGTAGTAGTGGTGGTGAAAACATTTGATTTGGCTATATTTCTTAAAAACGACATTATTTCAAAAATTAAGTACTTATATATGAAATGTTATCCCTTTATTTGTAAAGTTACAAATTGTGGAAAAATTTCCGCAGTTGGATATGCTGCAAAACACCATGTTTACCTCTCCGTGTCTCAAATAACACTAGTTACCGCAACAAACGCTTTACACGCGCTTGTGACCTACGAGTCACATGCGCGGCGACAAGGTCACGCGTCTATGCCACTTCTATTAGTTTATTATTAATATTAAGATTTCTGTGGTTATGTATTTTTAAAACTATACACCCACTTTTCTAACAACACGAATGAATCCATATAGTATATAAAAGAGAAGTACCAGACTGGCTGATTGAGTAGTAGCAAAAACTTAAAAACTAGTAAAGCTAGGATCATGAAACTTTATTTGTCTGTTACCTGCCCACGCTTTAACGTCTGAACAGATTTCGATGTAATTTAAGAAGGATATTGCTTTCTGGGCAAATAATAATGAGCCTACCTGTCCCCGCCCTACTTTGTGAGCGTAGCCATGGGTATAAATTTTTAGTCTATATAAATTGTTTTGAAAATCTTCACATATTAAATGAGCATTTCCTGTATATATATTAACATGTTGTGTCATTTCGTGTATCTCGGAAACCACTCTAACGATTTGGATCAAATTTTGTATATAGATAGGTTTTGCTTTTTAAGTTTATCTATTTAAAATTTTTCAATTTTTATAGCTTTCCCGAAAAAACGCTGAGCGGAGCTAAGTCGGCTAGGAACTTTAAACGTCAATGTTGTCAGTCGAACGGAAATGTTAAACTTTGCTTTTGGAATGGTCCTCCAGTGAAGAGACAGCGAGAAAACTTACTTTTTGTTGATTTCTTGGGTTTTCTAAACAACTCTTATCGCAATGATTTTAATTGTTTTTAATAAGTGTAGGCAGTGGTAGCCCAGTAGTAACACGCTCGTTTGGAAAACCGATTGAAGCGGGTTCAAATCCACATGATGATGAGGTCTCGCACATGATATTTTCATGTACGAATGATTTCTAACATGATTACCACTTGCGTTACGGTAAAGGAAAACATCTTGAGGAAACGGAGAGAACCTAGCAAGTCTCCGATAGACATGGGAAGTCCGCCAACCCGCACTTGGCCACCGTGGTGGACTATGACCTGATCACCCACGTATTGAAGGGAGGCTCGTGCCCAGTAGTGCAACGTTAAAAGGCCTGAATACAAGCTGTGATAGTTTTGTTTATTCAGAAGCTTTTTCTCTTCTGTTCAATTGTTAAAAATAAATTGTAAAAATTGTGAAGAAATCAACTTAATCGTTATGTCGTAGAATCATAATACGTCATTCCCACATATTTTTTAGATATCTATTCAATAACGATTATAGTATGACATTATGTTTAATCCTCTAGGATTTTAGTGTAACTAACTCTAACATCACATAGTCTCTAAAAAAAACTCGCTACTCTCAATCAATAGAAACGTGTTACTTAGGGTCACATACGCATTGCTACTTAAAAAGAAGAAAATTTATTGCTACTTAAAAGGAAGAAAGCCAATAATTTCACCAATGCTAAATATGACTCAGGTTTGATTCGCAAGATTTTTAATTGCATAAATAAACTTGCGTTTTTATATAAAATATCATTTAATTTATTTTCTCTTCACTTCGGTTTCGTCTTTTGACCGACTTCTAAGAATTGTTCGCAAAATTTTCGCTGATTGTAAATGGATATTCATAATATTTTTTTGTATTACATAGGCTACATTAAAGGTAGTCACATGTAAAATTGATAAATAAAATTCTAACCCTAAAAATGGAATGGTTTCTTCCATAAAATAAAGTGATTTTTATATTTGACCCACGCTCGATCCGCGCGATGGTTCGTCTCAAGTTACGTATTAATGTTTATATTTTCGTTAAAAGGCAGTAAATTATGCATGATATCAAATTAATATTCACATGCTAACTACTAATTAGAATTCCGTTAAATGTGTATGTCCATTTAAGTCGTAAATAAAAAAGTAAATATCGTGCATATTGTGTATAATTTAGCTGTAGGGGATTCCCGGAGTGTTTTTTTCTGCTGTTGTTGTGGCGTAAATTCAGATATCCTTAATTTATTTTATATTGTCATATAATATGGCTAACATTAACAATAGAATTTACCTTATTTATATTTCGGTAGTATTTGGTATAGATATTCAAATATTTTGCAAAAATCTAGAAATCTTTTTTTTAATGTTGGAAAATGTATTTCCGCATACCACCCGGCACCAGGTGGGCTATGTGGGACTCACCGGTTAAAAAATCCAGTACTACCCACTAAAATCCAACAAAATCTCCCCCGTCTTCATGGAGCGTCGCAGGATCTCTTACGCACTCAACCACGACGCCCCAACGGCAAGTCTGCTAAAGCGGACCACAACAGCCATGGGGTTGCTCCAAGGGTCCACTCTTCTGTCAGACAAGTACCAGGAGCAACCCGCATGGCACACCACCCACCGAGGTGGGCCTCCTCTCAGTGCGTTTTTTGGTTTCGCGCCCGGCTGGATTGCCGGCCACGAATGAGTCCCCCGCCACGACGAGGTGAAGGCACGTTGGGGGGCAAGACTAGAAATCTATGACAAGCTAAAATTTGTAGTTAGTACTTCGACGATTTCATATATTCAATCCAATCCTCTTTCCCTAATTAATCAATATTATTTGCCTTATATGGGGTTGTTGTATAAACCAGTAATGATCCTGTAAAGCAATTATCTCAAGTATTAATCAGTGATCTGTATGTAGTCTGCCAACATGTAGGGTAGGTCTCAGCCGCTTTTACTACAGCCAATTTAATTAGCCCGATGTTTATCGATAGAATACGTCGTTCTGGTAAATTAATTAAAAGGGAAGAGCCAATCTATAGCTACTTAGAGTACTGTAAAAATATCCATGTTTTTTGGCTGTCGGTGTGCGCACGCATCGTAAAAATTTTACTGTCATAATTTTTTCCAAACGTTCCAAAAGAAGTATAACTTCAAAAAGCGATTATAAGATTACAATGCTATGATGTAAAGTATGTATTAATTTTGTAAACAGTGTAATGGATCGTGAAACAGATAAAGACGCGCGATTATCTCTATATCAAACGCGATAGGAAAGTCAACGCGGCCTTGCCCATAAACTTAGCATAAAAATTTGTTTGTATATTATGCACGTGACTTTTTCCAGCACACGTGGTTGTGTTTTAGTGGATGGCTGAAATAATTTTGTAAACTTTGATTTATGTTTTTTTTTAAATATTTTTGAGATTAGGAATCTGATTTTTTACATAGGTATTATGTTGCTGTTGTTTTTTTTTTAATTTATTTATTACTTTCTTTAGTTAATTTTGTTTTACTTTTATAAAATTCTGCTGTGCGAGCTTCTATTTGTAATCCTCGAAAATGGCTTGAGCGATTTTGTTTTTTTTTTTGTGTAAGGTACTTATGAGGACACTTGAATGATTCTTAGTTTCTTACCTATAGTTTGACCGTTGTGGCTGTTGCAAACGAAATTTATTTTTTATCTTATCAAGTTTTTTCTCATATAAAAACCGATTTAAAATATTGAGTATCTCAGGATTTCTTTTATAGACTGAATAAATATATAGCGGTAATTTCAATGACGTTTTATACATACAAGCATAGTACCGTTTTTATAATAGTATTTTTTTGCCATCAGATTCTATGACGAATGCAAAAGGAGGTACAACATCAAGTTATGGAAAACTTTCACGGATTGCTTCAACTGCTTACCAGTCGCTGCGATAGGTGAGTGACTTCTTCTATTTCTTCTTTGCAAACAGATTTATTTATTGTTTTAAATAAAACTATTTTTTGGTTTGGTTGTTTTCATTTAGTTTTTTTAGTTTACATTTCTTTTAAAATAGATAGGTGCTTCGTTAATGACTATAACTTGATACGTCAAAAACCTTAGTCTCTCCCGTGACCATGATTGTTGCATTCGAAACGTTAGGAACACGAGACCAAAGTATAATGGCGAAAAAATCGAATGAATATTGTCATTGGAAATTTTAAGTAGTCGCGCATAAGAGAATCCTATTTTAAAAGTTGTATTCTTGTTTATCTACACACACAGGTAAATCTCGCGACAAGCTTATCATATAAATTGTGTTATGTAATAAATTGCTGAGTTTGATTTAATTTAAAGTTTATTTTCTTCTTTTCAGAGCATTTACATAAAATCTTGTTTTAAAAAATATTTTTTACTATCTATTTATTTCATATGACGTTGAAAAAAAGTTTTAAAAGTTGATTATTTATTATGTGTTTTAGAGAATATAAATTATAAACTATATTCTCTAAGGTATAGGATAAGGTTTTCGTATGAAATTGCAAGTTTGTTTAAATATTTTCTAAATCATCATTACCTTCGTATCAAAAAATGCAAAGAACGTTTCTATGTTTATCATTAAAAAATTAAATCGCTCGTGGTTAAACTCATTTCAAAGCAAATACGTTATATACACATTAAATAAATAAATACTTGTGAATAACCTCGCAAAAGTGCTTTAATATATACGAAAACATTTTTATAGCTACTATATAGGTACATTGCACTTAGTTGTAAACCCATTAAGAGTTTGCTCTATTAATTGTTAGTGTTTTTTATTTGATTATGAGAATGTAAGACTATATTTAATAATACAGAAAAGCATTGTTTTAAGGATACTAAAATTATTAGAAACTCAAACTGATTGTGGTATAGATATTTATATTTATTTCCCCATACAAACTTTCACCCCCTTAAGGAATGATTTCTGGAATAAAATGTATCCTATGTCCTTCCTAGGGTCTCAAACTATCTTTTTACCAAATTTCATCTAAATCAGTTCAGTAGATCCAGAGATTACCCCCTACAACATCACAAACTCACAAACTTTACCTCTTTATAATATTAGTATAGATGTTTTGTCTTTTCATTTGGTGTGTAATCAATCATACACGTATAGTCATTAGTTACAAAAATGTATTTTTGGACGCTATTTGGAGTAATTGAAGATTGACCTATTGTAAGTTGTTTTTCGGAATTTGATAAAAAATGCAGTTTAACATCTTTATCGGGGGGCACGGAGTGCCCCCGCCAAGTCGAGCAAAAAAGGGAACGACAGTACCATCCTTTTCTCGAAGCGATTCAGAGCATTTTCCACCCCCCCATAACTTCGTTATGGATAAAGCTAGAAGCCTGAATTTTCAGTGACTAAAAGAACATAATAAAACTAGGCATATTTCCAAATTACATTCAATTTGAACCTGTAGTTTAAGAACTGTTGCAGATCAAAATTCGTTAAAATCGTCACTCACACACTCACTCACTCACCGATCATCAAAATTCTAAGGTACTTCTAGCAGACATAGGAGTTTCAAATTTTGAACACAATTAGTGTTTAGCCTATAACGCAAGGAAAAACTCAAACATCATGCAATTTCAATCCTGTTTTCGAGATATACAAACTGCATAAGTAACTTTGTATTCCTATACAAATAGATATGCGATATATGGGATTACAAAGTTATGTTTGCAGTTCATACATATCATTTTTCGTCACTTAAACTACCCAAATGTATAGCTGGGTAAATAGTAGATATACTGTAAGTGTTAGCGACGACTAAAATATAATTATCAATATTGTAAATAGTTTTAAGGAATAATATATTTAATATATAAATTATCTATACTAATATTATAAAGAGGTAAAGTTTGTGATCTTGTGAGTTTGTGACGTTGTAGGGGGTAATCTCTGGATCTACTGAACGGATTTTCAAAATTCTTTTGCCAATAGAAAGCCACGTTCTTTCTGAGTGTCATAGGCTATATATTAACCCGAAAAATGAAAAGGCTTTTTCGTAGCAGTCGGATTTGCAAAGTAAGTCGGAGAAAAAACGGTCGAACGAAAACGTTTCTTACTGTTATATATATGTTATGTATATAATGGCGCCTAGTAGCCCTATTCCTTCTCCTTGGTCAGCACTTTTGATGGTTCATAATTATTAAATATTAATTATAGTTCAGTTCGATTCCAACATCCGCGCGTGACACTTGCCCTAATAAAATCGGGTCCAATCTATTAAATAAAATTGTGTTTTATGTAATCCCAAGTATTTTCTTTTTTTTTTAAACCAATTAGTGAAAAGTGCTATAACATTACGAACGCTGCCTTAACGATGAGAAATATATGATTATGTTCTAGAGAAAAGTTGTAGAGCTTAATAATGCCTACAAAAAAGTCAGCGACAGCATACGTCTAACTTTTATATTTAAGTCACAAAAAGTAGTTTTTTATAATAAAAAATCATTTAAATCGGTAGGTCATGTTTATTGGTCATATTATCAACAATTATGAATTCTTATCAAAATAAGTAAATTTTCTTTTACAAAGTATGATGTTGATATGAATTAGAAAACTTGTCAACATCTCATTGCTCGTAATTGTACCCACCTATTAGAACATGGAATATAGAGGTCATGAGATATCAATCTCTTCGAAAATTACTTTTAAAATAGAATGGAATAAAACTTTCGGGATTTAACTACGATGCTGCAGATAGACACATAAATCTACACGTCTTATTAAACTTATGTAAGTCGAATATCAGTATCGGGGTAGGTATTTAGGGTCAACAATGAAATTAAAATATTCGTTAAATTAACTATACATATTTATACTTAATGCATAAGATAGTAGTATTAAAGTCCAGGAGTCCGTAATTTCCCAATACAATAGACTTAGATTTTTTATCATCCAGACTTGTCAAAATTTGTTACCTAACTCAAAGCCTCTGAAAAAAGCCCACAGAGACAAGGAGTGGGCTTTTAAAAAGTCGTTACCTGACACACAAGAAATAGTACAAGAAAAGAGAAAAAGAAGAAATATTTACAAAAAGAAATGAGATCCCATCAAAAACATTCTGTAAAAAAATTGCAAGTCTCGCAACGCATTTCTTCTACCGCAAAAAGCTATGAGATGTAATGTAAAACCAAGTCGGTTAATTTATTCATTACCTATCTATGGAAGCATCTATCCGACAACTTTGTCATAAATCGTTACCGAATTAGTTAAGTTACAACATTTTATAGTGACCGTATTAATATTAGATATATTTATTTCTTTAATTAATAGAATGACTTGGCCATCGCACGGAAACATAATCACATATGAGTCTACTACTTTAAATAGTCCAAATTAAACATATCATGACCAAGGTGGACGGACGACTTGGTCAAAGTCGCTGGAGCCCACTGGATGCGGATGGCACAAGACTGGTTGTCGTGGAACTTTTTTACCATATTATACGTATTTATAATATTTTATATTTTCAAATACTTATTTTTCTTACAACTTAGTTTGATCACTTTCGTCCATTTCCATCCATTAGACCACGATTGATTAATTGCTTACCTAAGCATGAACTGTTTGTAACGTTCAAATACAGAACTCGGATAATTTTTATATTGTTATAACGTTATATTTATTCTATACTAGCAGAACCCGCGACTTCGCTCGTGCTAAAACTACGAAAAAATCTCTAAAAAAGTAGTTTCGTACAAACTTTCATCCTCTATTTTACCCACTTATAGGATGAATTTCGAAAAATGGATCTTTACTTGTGAATGTGCAGGCGATTTTAGATTTTTTTAAAGATAAAAAGGGTCTTCTAAAGTTAAAAAAATTAAATAATCAGAACTTGAAAAAATAATCTGCCTAAATATCTTTGTTTACGCTTAAACTTAATATTTACTGATATCGACTAAATCTTGACCATGGACGAGGTAAAAGATGTACATATACAGTATACTAGTGCTTCACAATTAACACCTCCTGGTAAATTTCTAAGAAATTAATTAAAATTATAAAAAAATCTATGGTTAACTGACACGCCGGCGTGTCCGCGGTCGTGGAGGTATTAATAATAAAGCGTCGTTATCATCTATACTAATATTATAAATTAAAGATATTGTTTTCATGTTTGTTTGTACCAGTCAGATTTTAATTTTGTTTGCTTTTTCTGGCCTTATTTATTTAGGAAAGAAAAACTATTATAAATACAACTTGACGCTGAACAATTATATACATAGTCTTATGACTAAATAAATAAATAAACGAGAGCAAAAGCTTGTTAATTTATAAAGTATCCATCCAACCATTTGAGACCACATACGAATAATATCGAGGATAATGTTACCTCCACACACCGTACATAAGGCGTAGTTCTAACCGCAAGGACTTTGATTGTCTTCCCAAGTTTATGCGAGACGAAAACAAACAGATAAAATTGTGAGTACCTATAAAGTTGTAAAGCAATTTAAGCGTGAGTCAATATATTTTCGAGTTGCCATTGAAGGAATGATGTTCGTGTATTTTGGTGTATATTGCAAAGTTAGGATTCAGTCTATTAATTCCCCACCTCATTTATCCCACCACATAGAACGGGTGTTCCCTCTATACAAGGTGAAGGGGGCTCATAGTCCACCACGCTTGCCTAGTACGGGTTGGCGGATTTCACAGGTCTTTTGAAAACTTGCTAAGTTATTTCAGACATGCAGGTTACCTCACAATGTTTTCCTTCACCTTATAAGCAAATAATATATTACATATTAATTTGGTTTTATACATTTTCGGGATAAGTTATATTGGTCTATTCACAATTGTATCATTTCATTGAGGCACTCCAGAGCGTATCTGAGTAACTTACTACGTTAATAGATAAATCTATTCTAAACATGTAATAAAATTCTAACCGAGTCGAAT